AGTAATATGTAAATATGCATGCAAAAATATCTTATCTATGTGTAAATGAAGCATATTGTTAGGGGGCACCACCACTCTCATTAAAGCTATCAGATGGTGGTCTAATTTGATGAATTGTATATGTCTTAACACAATCGATACCTCTAATTTGTAGTACATAAATAAATCATGGGCATTGCATTGGTCACTCACCTGTCACTAGTGATTGGCTGCTTCAAGAACTATGCTCTATGAAAATCCAATCAATGTAGTAGTGATATTGATTTCCCATAATTTTTTATATAGAAAAAGCACTTAGTATGACTAGATTTAAGTTTGATGCACAATGTGATTAACCTAACGATAAAATGGTCAGATGTGCCTTTGGTTAGGATGTATCGATATCTGACTGAACAATGTGTATCACACAATGGCGATAAACTCCTGAACTGCGACTTCAGCCATCTCTACAAAATAATAGAAATGCTTACAAACTCAAAGTTAAATGTGTATATCAAAATTTAGAAGAAAAGTACTGCTCAAGGAAAATTTAATCATAATATATCATACAAACATGTTTTAAACTTGAATTATTAGGACAAATTGGTTTATTATGTCTCATATTATTACAAATATTACACACTCTTGTGTTTGTAATTCTCGTCCCATTCATTGTATTTTAATCATACTTGCTCTTAGACCACCATATCTTCTAAACAAAGGGGGAAGCAAAGCAACGATACCTTGTTGTTGATCATATTGCGACCAAGATATTTTATCAGGTATTATATGGAATAATGATTCATGTCTAATGATTGAAATCTAATGTAAAATACTTGGAAATAAAAGCAATGTGATCAAAACGTCTAAATCCCAAAGCCGCAATCGCATGCACATATGGTTTGTGATAGATTTGTGACTTATTGTATGAACATGAGCAATTCATTAAGGAAATTATGTTGAAACGAAATGTTCTGCAATTCATAATGAAGACCAGATGCTCGCGATAATTAATGCATATTGATTGCAAAAACTGACAACTCCACCCTCAATTTTTTGTAAAGTTGACATTGTGCACGTAATAAAATTTGAACTTGTTGTTTCACTCCATTGTGCTACATTAGTTGAATGTGGCAAAAATATAATAACCAAATTATAATAGAAAACACGGATGAGGCCCTAAATTAGTATATCTCGAGCACACCACAATACCTCGTTAAGACTTTCAGATTTATCTGTAGTCATTGTTTCAAATCTATAGCCACCATCAAATAATAAAGATCACTTTGTGACATCTCATTCAGTTAGCCAATCATATACCTCCTTTTTTAATATTCTTAATATCACTCATGTGAATATTAAAATTGTGTGCTTCATTAGTATTTCCAACTCAATACATTTTATCACAAATAGTATCGGTGTACCCTATGGCAAAACGTTATATTACCTTCTTAAAAATTTCTCGTAGATGATGCAAGTAGTGTTTATGTACAACTCCTTGGAAGATCTCCCTACAACCACGAGCTAGTCCTAGGTGCGTCTAATATTATCTAAAGGTCATTACAGATCCAAACGACTTTCACCAAAACATACAATTATAGAAACCATGCCCATTACACAACATTCTCATATTCAACCACTATAAATGCAAATGGAATGAACACTATTTTCGCCAATTCCTGACAGCTAGCAAAGTCCCTCCATATTTCCCTAAAAGGAATGTCCCATCAATGCTAACAAGATGTAGGCAAATATACTCCAGAAGAAATTATGAAAACACGTACTATTTCAGACTTTTATTTTGTATACTGGTTTGAGAATCACTTTGCATGTAAATAAATAAGGAGCAATAGGACTCATCAAAACTACAAAAAAAAAATGATTTAATAGCTCTTTTTTATGTGCATCTCATGATTTGATGTATGTAATATGAACATTAAATTTTGATTTCACTCGAACAACAATTTCTTTAGCCTTTAGATCTAAGTTGTCATAGAAAACAACACCTTTGTAGTGACATATAAACTTTGGAGTACAATTTCGGCGGTAGGTTGACATAACTGGACGAGTACATGAATGTGATGCCCAAATTACAAATATTTTTCATCCACCCCCCAATCGCCGGCTCTTGGATGCATGTAGACACCAATGACATGGATGAGTCTCAAATTATATTGGGCATATTGAATTGTAAATATCTTTTTACTTGAAGTAATTTTTATGTATTATACGTTATTCATTATTGACGATCCACTCAAAGCACATTTTAATCCATCCTTACTTTAAAATATCATTCTCTCTAATAATACATCTGAAATGACATCATCTTGATATATTGTTATTTGATTTATAGGAGCATCACAATCATCAACTATATCCCACTCTTTATTAGCACAATTGGCTTCAAAAATTGATTGTTGTCTACCATTGACTCCAACTTTGTATTTTGGTTTTGCATATTGATATAATAAATCATGTCCTGACAATGCAATATTCTGATCAACAACATGCTAACTATAAACCGTACTTGTCTCTGGTTCACTGGAATTTTCATAAGTGTCACTATTTATGATTTTATATTCATCAGCATTTACATCCAAGTGCATACCTTGTGATATATTGCGTAGAAGACTCAACTTGTCTACTAACTTAAGTGTTAAATGAGCGTGAGAGGCAAATTATCGATGCGCGCTACAGTCAATCAATAGGTTGACAAGTTATATTATAGAATCCTAGGTCATGTGTTGAATGAAATTGTAGTTGACCTACAAATTAAAAGTCATAATATTTATATTCCTTTTTAATATGAATCTCTAATAGTTACATAAAACATTATTTATAATTTTCGCACCTATAAATTTGTCACATGTTCAATAGATATGACGGGAATGTGTGAATGATCAACAATGTGTGACTAACCAACAATGTCAGAAATCTCAGTAGGTAAGGTCTCAACCTCAACATAAATAACTATTATTTGTTTTGTCGCTTCTAACAACAAAAATTCACATACTTCATCATCATCAATATAAGTTGTTGTAAAACTACCACTCACATAGAATCAACAAACTATATTATGATATATCTTGAGCAATCATGACGCAATAGACAATATTTTTCTCTTCAATGCATTTAGTGTTATCAACGGAGATAATTTAACTAAATGGTTATGTCCACAGACATAAGTGAAAGTAAAATCATTTGTGAATCGTTACTCTCCATCAAAGCATAGTAATAAACGTGACATTATTGTAAAATGTAGTCTAATCCTCCAGGTGATTTTAGTTGTAATTATTAACTAAAATTTAGTAAATAAATATGCAATTAAAAGCACGGTTGCCTTGATATACGCAATAAAATAAAATAAATTCATAGCTAAAAGAACTTTCAAATAATGAGATGGTATAAAAAGCTCACATCCAAAGTTCTCCTTCCAATGCAATTTAGGCATTTTAACAAAGTTCTTTAGAGTTTCAAATGCAATATATTTCGTACAAATATACACAATATTATTCTAATTTATATTATCATATTTATACATATGATGTACCTGAATAATTCATATATCAAATTCATTAGAGTATAATGCATGCATTTATATTAGTGTGTTGTAATATGTTTGAAATAGAAATCGTTAACTGGCATAATGAATGCAATAAAATAAAGTTAATTTGTAGTTACGAGGACTTCCAGGTGATGAGGGGGATACAAAGTCAATTTACATTGTAAGTTCTAATTAGATAGTTTAGGCCTTATTGACAAAATTCTTTACAGCTTCAAATGAAACCATATTTCATACATATATGCAACATTATTCTAATTTGCATTATTTTATAAATAATATGAATCAAAATAATTAATATATCAAATTCATTATATTACAATATATGCATTTATATTAGTGTGTGATAAAATCTAATATAGGAATCGTTAACTAACCTGATATATGCAATAAAATAAAGTGAATTCGTAACTACCAAAACTTTCAGGTGATGGGAGCACTAAGGCCTTTTATATCACGAGCTCTCCTAAGCAGTTTAGGCCACAAAGTATATATATATATATATATATATATATATATTATACTGATTTATATTATCATATTTATAAATAATTCAAATATCAAATTCATTAAAATACAATAAATGTTTTTGTATTAAACAAATTTTAAATAAAATTAAAGTATAGATGTACATGGCTAACTAAGAAGTGTAAGAAGACAAGATCCTGACGACATGCGAAAAAAGATCATGATGATAAAAAAATATTATCCTGCAGAATATCGAGGAAATTTTTATGAGAATTTTGCAGTATGTAGAGAAAGTAAGGAGGAGGAGAACTTTTGAAAGCAAAACAAAGATTTTCAATAGATAAAATATGAGAGTGAATGGAGAGAAAAATTTAAGGATAAAATTTTATTAAGGCACATTTAATATACCTTAGATAAGTGATTATAACTATTTACTATAAAATATTAAAAATTTTATATAATTTGTCTTAGTCATTGTTATACCAAATAATTGAGGTACTATTTCAACCTCCTATTTACCATTAGCCTTACGTCGTTAGGTTTCCAGACTGCATATAGATCAATACTATCTTAAACGATTAAAATTATTTTTTTCAAAATAATATTAATAAATAAACTTTAATGCATAAAATATAAATTAATTAACATTTTTATGTAACATAATAATAATTATTTTAAAGTTTTTGAAATATAAATTTATAGCTAAAAATTCAAAGAAGAATTTGAACATAGCACAAAAAATTTAAGAAAAATTAGATACTGATTATACGTATGCTATGAGATAATACAATTAAGAAAACTGATCCGGATTAAAAATGATGGCCAAAAACGATGGAAATGAAACTATATTAGAAAAATAATTTTAGAGAAAAAATTGAGATTAATCAAAAGAACATCAAGAGACTAATGATGTGAACACCAGCACACTACCTTCAAAGAAGCACAAAATATTATTTGATTTCAAAACTTACAATATATTATTTTAGCAAGATATTTATTCAAGGTTAAATGTACAACTTTATAAAAGCACTCAACACATTTAAAGAGCAAAAGAAGAAATTAAAACTTCAAAACAAAGCTAAAAAGTGTCATGAAGAATTTCCATTTTAATGTTTCATTAAAATTGCATCAATGAAAGTAACCCAGTACCTGACCACCAACATTTTGCCTTAGGGCTTCCTCGTGATCAAATATGCCAATAGGAGTTCTGATGACAACATAACCCCACTGCAGAAACAAAAGGTAGAATCCAAGGAAAATAAGCAAATAAATAGTGGATCTATTTAGGATCAAATTGCAAATTCAATTCTAGAGCACTTGGACCTGGTTATACAATAAAAATAAAATAGATATAGTAGCCCCAGAAGAAGATTATTTTGATTCCATAATTTGCATTCAAGGTTTGTTACATGTTCCTTTCTAATTACAAGAGAATATTTTACTTTATATAGCAAATTGATCGACCACGAAGGTAGCTCAAAAAAATACAATGTCACCTGTCGTCCAAGAAAGGAATTTATAAAACAAATAATGCATAAAAATTTCATTGATTATAGAATTTATTTATTAAATAATTAAATGAGCTGTTTTAAAAAAAAAATTATCTTCTAAAGAGAAATGTCTAGCAAATATGACCACAAAGTGAGGTTGGTCAGAGTCACATACGAATCCTTAAGAAAATACTCAATAGGTAAACAAAGTAGGAAATCATCATATCATCATTAGTTTCATCCCAATTATTTGGAATCAACATTATGAATCCTCATTTTATATTCATACTACTTGAGTGTTGCTTACTTGAGATTGCTGATGTATTCTTTGCACTCATTTCGAACAACAACTATCCAAGTTAGGCCAACTTATGCTCTTTCATATTGATCCAACGCTAATTTTATCTAAACATCTAATAGGTGAATTTTCTATAATTTATTTTCTACAGTCAAACCTTCTAAGTATACTTTTAATTAGCTTATCTTCAATAGATACCCCCCAAACCATTTCTCTAATATAATAATTCTCAATTTATCCTACCAAATTTTTCTATACAACTGAAAAACAACTTAACTATCAATAGCAATTTTACTTCCTAAAATTTGAATTAATACAAAATTGGCAGCATGATAATCATTTATAGAATTTACCTTCATGAATCTAATGATATTGTCACCATAGTCAAATCACATAATGTTACTTAGACACTTCTTCAATTAAATCAACATCATCACTATCCTTCTCTTCATATACCTCTGATGCATGTCTCCGATGTAGTCATATAGACTTACTCTAGAAGTTATATATGCTTATCTATATATATGAAAATCACAAAAATAACACATCAAATTCTGCATCCAATTCTGCTGCGCCACCTTGGCAATCCATAGTTCCTGCATCTCCTCCATTAATTGTAAATGCCACCAACTATATTAGCCATCTTGGCAATTCGCACCATTATGCATTTCGTATGTAGTTCATCTACCAATTATTTCTTCATACAAAATAAATTTTTAATGGCACAATTGATTTTAATTGAATATGTTAATTACATGCATATTTTTTTCCGTTATATTAGGTGTCTCTCCTATAAATAATGTATCTCTTCTGCCCAAAGGAATAAAAAATGGGCAATGTTTTTCTTTAATGTTTTTCAAATGGATATCAGAACCACATTTTTCTATTTTCCACATCCTCAAATAATTTCATGTCTTTATCATCCTTCTTCAAATTATTTTTTTTAAAAGAATCACGACCCAGTACAAGAACTTGGAGCTAATCATGGCGGGAACGGCCGGTCGGACAAGTAAATATTTCAAAATAGTAATATTAGTTCACAATAAAATTCAATTATAAAAGAGAAACTAAACTACAATATATAAGTAAACATCCTTTAAAAATACATATAAAATCCAGAAATACAGTAAAACAAGTAGTACCAAAAAAAATAATAAAACATATAACTCAAACAAACTACTGCCTAATTTTAAAAGTCCCTTTCCTCCTGCAAACAAACTCTCTCCCATCAATCATATCAGTCTAGCGGACCTTTTTATGAAAAAATAGTTAAACAATAGATTAAGTTTAAGGAAATTTAGTGAATAATTACCATTTAATTATGCATTAAATCATTATACAAATGTTTAACATGAATGCTCAAAGAAATATGCTAATCAATGTTTAAAGTGAGCTTTACATTTTTTTCATTTTATTAAATTGTTTATTAAGATATTTTGATCAATTATTTTTGCATCCTTTTAATCAATTACATTTTTTCCTTTCATTTTTCTTTCAAGATGTCATCTTAAGAGCAAAGTCAAAATGTACTTGTTGAATCTTGGTTTATCGGTGAATCTCATCCACGGAATAGAGCGTAAGACAAAAGATAAAGAGATAGAATGATACATTGTAAGGAACAGTAAACTGAATTTTTTATTAACTTTTTCTCAGGAAATGGTTTCTCTATTTGTAGAGAAGGATACAATATATAAAATTACATACCTGTCCCTATTTCAATGAGAGAGTTACAAGATAATTTAAGTATTTTATATGTATAGGCCTTCGACTCGGCTATCCTACGACTCAATCGGCTGAAATCAATGGCCTTAGTTCAGCAAGACCTAATTGTCTGCCTGTGCTGAATCGGGGTAGTCGGTCAGCCTTTGGTGGTCTCAGGTCAGCAAAACTCAACTCGATCAATTTGGCATTACGAGCCAGCTGCTCTAGTCAGGCTGCCTACTATTGATCCTCAGGTGAGGAGCTCCTGCCAACAAAATGAGACTAGGTCATCAAGCAGATGTTAAATTATCGTAATCTGACAGATAGTTCATTCCGCACAGAGGAGTCCTTAGAGATGCTTTACGACCAGTTTTTGGCCTCTGATAAGGAATCTCAAGAGCGTTCGTGAGATGGTTGTCGATGTTAAACTCTTCTTTTGTGTCAGGCTGCGGCGAGAGGTGGGTCAATGCCTCTGCTCGACTTGATCGACATTGATTCTTGGCTAGGATGACCTGCATCAAGTTAGCTTCTAGCCCGGTTTAGGAGAATTGCACCTAGTCAAGTTGGTCCTCTGGTCTTCTGATAGTGGGCCCATTGATCTTCCGTTGGCGGGCTCTGTGGCCTTCTACTGGTAGGTCCTCCTTAGTTGCGCTTCTTTGTATCTTTGTTCATTGGATCTCAAGACTCATGTATACGTGTTTCCGATGTGTGGTACTTATAAAGGTATAACATTTACCATTTTGCATTATCAATGTATAATCTATCATTTTTCTTATATTTAAAGTGCACGAGTACAGTAATGTTTTTAACTAATAAAATAAGGGGGTAACTCTGATAAACTTAATCACTTAGCTTTCATTCAAATTATATTTAATTTCTTTCAATCATCAGATCCATTTATTTTTTATTTAATGGAGTGCTAAAAATAAAAGAATTGAAATCAGAAATAATTCATAATGTTTTCATTTATCTTCATTAGACTATAAGAATGCATTTCGTGTCTTTAATAAGTATGAAAAAATGAAATACTTTGAAAATAAAAAAAAATTAATGTAAACAAAATAATAATTGTTCACCTTAACATTTAAGAGACCAATGTAAAAGCTTATTCCTCCAATTTACTTCATTTGACTAATACAAATATATTAAATGTGCATGTAAAATAATTTTATTTCTAAAATAGCTCACTAAAACATAACTAATTAATTTAAAAGTTTTTTCTCTGATTATCTTTTAAATCAAATTTTCTCTTCTTTCTTCATACAAATTCAGCAACTCTCAATTTTCCGGTTAATAATTTGAAATTACCAAAAATTTGACATTAATGAATAAAATTTACTATTCACTTTTAACAGCAATTAAAAACAGCTACTTGTAACTTAAATATGAAGCTCTAACTTGATAAATGTTGTCAATTTTTCTTGCTTTTTTATCTGATTATTTTTCACCTCATATTTTGACATTTTTTAGCAATGAGCCCATATTAACACTTAATAATTCATTATTTAATTGACTATAAATAAATTTTAAAATAAACACTAACCTTTTTTTCACAATTTTCTTCTTCTTCCAATCCAAAATGTTACTTCAATCTATAATTTCCTAATTTAATAAAACTTAATATTAACATTTTACATGCATACTCAACTTACTATTATCTTAAAAAAACTAATAAATCCTGAATCAATCCTACAATTCGGTTTGATTTCTTTACCCGCACGCAAAGCCTTCTCCCCACAAGCCATACATAGAGTTTCGACGCTCTATCTCCTCCCTTGATTGTTCAGCCCGCTATCCTTCTTGCTCTTCTTCCTTCAAACACATTGTGGTTGTCTACTTTTAGCTCATGTGCCCCATGTGTTCCTCGGTTTCACTTTCGTTTTCCCTCAACTCTCCCAGTTCTATGCTCGCAGTCTCCCGTAGATCCATCAGATTTTTTAACTTGGTTCTTTCCTCCATCATATTGTTCCAGATCATTCTTCATTGCAAACATGCCTTAATTTTCCTGTCTTCCCTCATATCAAGCAGGCGTGTTCATTCGTTTTTTATCTTCTCGTTCAGTTTTTTTTTTTTCTAAGGTTTATGCATTTCTCGATTTCCCTCTCCTATGTTGTGGAGCTAGTTTCTTCTGTGTTGTGGTTTCCTAAAATATGATATGATGAGCAAGGGGACTTTATGGGGCTCTATTCCTTCTGTGTACGTTTAGGTGTGTTTGGTTACGACATCTATGTTTCCCTAGTCTCTTTGATTGCTTTGGTATGTAAAAATATGAATTGATGAGCATGTGGGGCCGAATCATTTGGACATGAAGAGTAATGTTATAACATCACTTGTTATTGTAATTTTTATTATTTTGTTATTCTACGTTATGTAATGCATTACTCTTTATGTAGTATAATAATGGATTTCTTTTTTTTTAACTGCTAAAACTTATTTGTGTTGTTTTGTTTGAATTATTTCTAAAATTATAAACTTATAGCTAACACATGTACATAAGAACATTATAATATTTTTTTCTCATAAATAGCTACGACACAACAAATTATCCAAACATCCACATTGCTTCACCGTCAATTATTTTCTTAACTGCTGATTATCCTAAAAGCAACTTCGCAGCTGCTTATTGAAACAGTTACAGCTACCCAAACCACATCCTAAATCCTAACATCAATTCATATGATAGTATTGATTGTGATGATGATCTTTACACACCAATTACCACTAGTTTTATAAAGAATTGACCCGCATACCAACTATACTAAAAACATCCGAGTTCAATTTAGCCCAAATAATTTCAAATCAGGTTCGGGTTAGGAATCCTAACCCGTTTAACTTGTTTGGTTGGTTTAGGATTATCTCGTCAACCCGAAACAGACCCATTAACTCTAAATGGACTCGAAATTGACCAAAATTTAACCTGAATAGCTATTAATCATATGTTAAACGGGTTATATGAGTCGAATTTGGATTGACAACTTGAAGTCGGGTTCGGGTTTGATTTTCTGACTCATTTAACACTCGGGTCAGTTCGGTCCAAGTAATATTGGGTCAGGTCAATTTCGAGTCAGACTCGAACCTAACCTACTAACCCAATTTGACACCCTAATTGTTGTCATAAAAAGAAACTCCAACCACCCAACCCATTATTAAATTTCTTAGACAAATTATCTCCCAAGTTTATAGATTAATAAAAATTATTTTAGCTTAGATATTTCCTAACAACATTGATTTTAATGCAGGATGGGATCGGGGCTCCCGTGAACTGGAAACTCCAGTTTAATTGCTGCCCGGTTCACATGCTCCAACAACCTAGAGCTGTGACTAGCCCCGTTAGTCTCCTTTCTTTCTTAATTAGCACTAGTATTAAGTTAATTTGCTTGAAAACTATATATAAGTTTGTTGCAGTCTGATTTGAGACACTTTTGGGTTTAATTTTGTATTTACTGGTTTTCTCTTATCAGGGTCTATATCATTCTATCTTTCATAAGTTGTGTACTTGTAACATGATTTGATCTAAGTAGTGACCTCTCCCATATGTCCAAAGACATTTTACGCTGCAGGTTTTGCAGCCCATCATCAGTTTTTCAATTTTGATTTGCTGTCCAGCCACCAAGAGCACTGCTTCTCAGTCTTCACCATATTTTCACCCTTCTTTCCCGTTCTACAGCTTTCCTAACCCCTCTAGTGATCACCTCATACCATCTAACAACCTTAGTCCAATGTCATTTAGCATTAGAGCAGGACAAACCCTAAATTTTTAGAGATTTATGTTTTCCACTCCTAATCTTTCAATCCACAAAACTTAATTCAACCACCCTATCCTCCATCCCTAACCCTAACCCTAATTGGGGTAAGAGGCACTATGCCGATGAGGTGACACATGCAAGGATATTCTTGTCCTATAATATAAACGATGTTAAGATATTCTGTCCAACAAAATTCAATAATATTGCAACCTATCACATTAAATCATTACCACATAAGATTTTCCTCTCAACTCAAACGAAAGCCTCTCCCTCTCTCAAACTCCATTGTCTGATCTCATGTCCTGAGAAATAAGCACATGCTACACACATAGTAATATGTACGGTACACCAAGCGGCTCAAACTGAGATTTACTCGTTACTAGCTTGCAAGCTAGACTTTAAAGACAATCTCAAATTAGAGCATAGATTAAAATGTGTATGATGCATAAATTTGATTTTGAACACAGGCTGCCTCAACCGAATTACGCATTGAGCAGGCTCGTTATAAATATCTTGTTTAAAAAAAAACAATAACAACCTGGTTTACCTTTATTCAAGTAATTTATTAAATTATCTAAGACATGTCATAAATGGTCCATCAATTCAAAGCAATATTCAAAGCTTGAGCTTACAATGAACTTAATTGAGTCAAGCTCTAACTTAATTATCAAGCTTAGCTCAGCTCAAGCTTCTGTTCATGCCAATGCTCACTACATCGAGTCAAGCTCGAGTTAAGTTCAACAGGAGCTCAACTCAACTCGATTACATCCCTACACTACAACAACCCAAGAGCACAACTCAACCTGATTACATCCCTACACAACAACAGCCCTACAAGCCATGTCACTCATATAAAATCTAACCAAAGAAAGCAAAAAAAAAAAAAAAAAAAAAAAAAAAAAAAAATCAAGTATGAACCAATCAGCAATTCATGAGGCTGCCTCTGGTAGCTTCAAAGTAAGCATTGGGAACATATATATAACACTACAGTAATGCATAAATGAAAGAAGCTGTTTCTAATATTTTAGCAAAAATACAAGCAAATAATAATTTAGAAGCACATTCAATCATGCAAAGTAGGATAGCACGTAGAAATTGAAAAAGTGACTCATATGCAAGGGTAATAACCTGGCGTGTTGGAAGAGTGCGGACACGATATTCTTCAATTTCCTTGGCTTTGATATCCTGCCTATACGTCAAAGCCTTGCAGTCTTTAATTCTTCCTAGCAATTCCACAGTAATTCTTCCAACTCTGTGTGGATCGTAGACTTGAAAATCTTTGATGTATCCTGCAAAAAGAGTCGCATAAATATGTAACTGCAAATATGAGAACAATGACAACTTGGTTAGCACTATCGACTTGAAATTTTATCAAAAAAATATAAGTTGTCATGGAATATTCAAATATTTTAGAAGAAAAGTGGATTCAGTGTGAGGATTTTAAGTATAATAACGGGCAAAGTGTGCAAGTATCTGCTAATTTAGAAATTTCATTGACTGAGACTTTAATATTCATGAATGAGTAAAGTGTCAAAATAGTGTCCTGACTATTTACATGGGGCCATTTTAGTCTCAAAGTTCACAAAAATGCTAAATTAGTTCACAGACTATTTTAATAGGAGCTAAAATAGTCCTTATTAGGGACTATTTCAACCCATATGAAAAGAACATGGGGATTAAATTGACACTTCTATAAAATTTGAGACTCAAATGCCCCCCCTACAAGAGTCAGGGGACCATTTTATCACTTCTCTCATTCATGAAATATATTGTATTGTTTTATGAAAATGTCCGCATAAAATCAAAGCTTTTCTCAGGCATTAATACTCTTGAAGAAAGTATAAAAGTTATTCCACTCAAATTTCTTCCAATTGGATAAAAAGCTTAGCTTGCTTCCCAAAAGGAGAAGACTGAAGCACAACAAGCTAAAAAGAATGCAAGACTGTCATTTCTATATTGCGATAAGTTGGCCATAAACTCAAAATTTGTTGGAATCTTTACCCATAAAAGAAGCGGAAATGGGAGGACAATAAAAAGAAGGGTGGATTGCCTCTTTAATTAAAGTAATTGAAGTGAGAGAAGTAACAAAGGCAGATCCAACAATATAATTCTGATGTTGCTTGTACACCACAATGAAGAGCAATGAAAGATACTTTTCCACCTCAGGCTTCAAATAAAATTCATCCTCATCCATGCCATTTTGGATGAAAAGAGTGAAAGAACCTACTTGGGTTGTTGACTATCTTACATCCAAAATCCTGTTCTCTAAGTTTCAAAAAATAATATGGTAAATTTACATATGTAGCACACATTTCTTATGCATTTACAAATCTCATACCTAAACTTTCATGTTTACATACATAGCATTTTGATGTTTTAAACCTATGCATTAAAAAGTGCATTTCACTTTTAAAAAGTGGTAATAGTGCTATTTCGATGTGATAACAAACATTTGAGTGCTGTCTGTGTAAATATGAAAGTTTAGGTGTGAGATATGTAAATACATAAAAATTGTGTGCTATGTATGTAAATTCCCCAAATAACAATGAACATTCAAGTTTGCTTTTCTGTATATTCTAATAATGAATCCGCATGTGAGATTGCACCTTTGGTTGTATGTCACATAATAAGTAATCCAAATTTGTGGGATCATCATATTATCTTCTTTAGAAGATGACAAAAGTTTCAACTTGTAGTGGGAAACGGTTGAGTCAACCAATATGCTAGTCCAACGTTACAAAAGATGGAAAAAAGTCAAATAACTAAGAGAAAAGAGGATCCCAACAAGGGGTTGAAAGCACTCTTCTTGATGAAAAGCACCACCTTAGTTGTGATATGCCTCACATGAATGAGACAATCCCAGCCCAACCTTCCTAACGGCTTGTTACTCGATGAATAAATTGCCTCACATGAAATAGCTTTTGGTCATTTCTCCGCTCACCCCTAGGCTCCCCTTCAATCTTGTTTCTCTTCTACAAATCATTTTATTTTAGGACTGCACTCCTTCATAAGTCTATCGTTTTCTCATCAAGTTTGTTGAAATGTAAAATTTCTCATCTCAGTCCTTCAGCTATATTAATATATCCCTCTGCACCTAGTCCAAATCCACCAGGATCATTAATTTTACATAAATTGATACATAGGGCTTATAATTTCCATTTTCAACTGGCATATTCCCGTATTCTGTAAGTCTCAACACTCTACTTAGAGCAACTTAAACCTGTCATTATTGAAAAAGTTCAATATCATAGATAGGGCCGTCAAAACGGCTTGTTACTCGATATCATAGATAGGGCCGTCGAATAGTTCATGTTCGGCTCCTTAAGAAGCTCGTGTACGATTCATTCGTTAAGTTAACAAGCCGAACACAAACAATTTTTTGTACTCAATATATAAACAAGTCGAACAGGAACAAAGATTTATTCGTTCATGTTCGGCTCGTTTAGCTCGAAATACTACTCATCAATTATATATATATATATATATATATA